AGGAAGGAAGGCGCTGCGGCTGTGTGAAGAGCACCCCTGCCGTCCGGGGAATAGTCTTCCTGTGGGTTTTGCACATCCACATAAGTTGACCCACTGATCACCTGTCTCTGAAGTGATGCTCCAGCTGTTTGTTATGTATCATCATCATCATAGGAATAGTTTCCCAGCAATAGGCATGAATTTGTAGTCACCTGTTCTCTTGCCAGGGCCATAATCAGTTTCATGAAACTAGAAGCCAGTAGTTCTAGTTTAGATGTAACTTGGTAGATACCAAAGGAAATTTAAAAAAGATGAAACTGATTATCTAGGAGTTAAGCCAAGCCTATGGGTCTTTAATACAATGCTGGAGAGACTTACTCACCCTCCCCACCACTACTAAAAACATCCAAATTCTTCTGTGAGATTACTATGATTTGTATGATTGTCCAGCTTGGCAAGAGCTAGAACTAACCCCTGGTGAAGAGTAGGTGTAAATTTCTTTATGTTGAAGATTCCTACAATGGGCTTACTCCTTGAGATGGACAATATATGAGTGTGATACGCATGCTCCTTGCCAGCTAGGAAGGCTGGTGGCTGTCATTGCTTTAGAAAAGGTGAAAAAGGAAAACAGATGAGGGGGTTTTCAGAGCAAGGGCAGGGGCGTGTGGATGAGCAATGCCAAATATCCCTCGGACATAGTAGAGCTGGAGAAGGTCATGTTAGAAGGACAGAGGGAAGCTCATCAGGAATTACCTGCCAACGAGGCCTGAGGACACCCGTGGAGCCAGGGTCCTCATGTCCACAGGGCTCACAACCTGGCAGGAGTCTTGATGCAGACAGAAGTCTGGCTTTTCCACAGATAAAGGGCTCACGCTGCCTTATTAAGAACTTCCACAAAGTAATCCAGCATACACGAATATTTATCTAGATAATTAATCTTAGAGAAACCAACCTGAAAGAGGATGAAGACAGGGAAATCCTGGAAGATCCTTTGAGACTTTGCCAAATTAAACTATTCATGTTTGTGTGCCTATGTTCTGTACACACACTGAGTTTCTTCTACTCCGAAGTGAAACTGACTGTGGTCTTCACGTACTAGGCAAGTGTCAGAAACTGAAAGAGTCTTTGTGGGGAAATAGCACAAGAGAAAGACAACACCATAAAATGTTTGGAGAACATTTTATTTTACAATCCTGGAACATTAACATCTGGTAGCAGCAAACACACAATGCAATGCCGATCTATTTAAAACTTGTGTCATGGGAAATATGTGTTTTGAAAATGGTAACACTCACACAGTAGGAGACTTAGAGGTCAGCTGATAAAAATGTTTTAAAAAATCAAAACTCTCATTCCATCATCATCAACAACCGCAAAAACAGCTGTAACATTCATCGGGTACATTCATCCACTTTACATTCGCAAAGAAGATTGTCATTTCATCGAATATATATCAAATCATCACATTCTGGAAGGCAAGATAAATCTTCAGGCTTAACTCTACAAATTTAAACATTTATATAAATATTTCACTTAAAACAACCAAAACATTAAGAATAGCAGCAGCATGGGTCTTTATTATAATATTACAGTAGTTTGTTCTATGTGATATATATATATATATAATTTAGTAGATCTTTCATTATTAATATTATTTGATACACTTTACAAACCCCAAGGTCCTGGTCTCATCACCAAATAACTTAGAGTGTAGATTCAGTAAATACGATGCAAAGAATAATGATAAAGCACGGACTGCAGGACATCCTCCAGACCAGCGGGGATCGCGCCGAAAGGCTGTAGGGAAGGTCAGGCTGGGAGGCGTGTAGGGATTCTGCAGGGTCCCTGAGGCCAGGGCATGTTCTGACCGGCTCCCTGAAGGTTAGATCGTGAATCCTGAGAAAAGTGTCTGTGGAACAAAAGGCACTGCCACCTTCTCATGGTTCCGTGTTTCATCTGAACATGGAATTAGGCTGATTAATAACTTGCCCATTTCCCAAGGAACAAGAACTAGAATCATTCCTCCTGAGAGGCAAGACACTGGGCCAGGAGGTCGACATTTGTTTTTCAGTATTTGCATTTATTCTGATGACCCAAGGCATAAAAACCAAGACTGCATCAGGGCCTTGTGTACTTAAGCCTGGATGAAAGGAAAAGTACTTCAATTCATCGTCCCAGTCTAAGCCACGGGACCAATTTGCTAATCCTATTGGTTTAGAAAGAAGCCCCACATGGAGTGACTGGAGTTTCTGCATACCTGGATTTGGTTCCAGGCATTGCCCCTACAATTGTGGCTTCTTTTTATATTTCAAACATTTTTTTTCTGAAAAGGCAAATGGTTAAGTCTAACAATCGTGTTCGATCTATGTTAGCTTTATTGTAGGCTGCTGTTCTCTGAAACTTCAATAATTTGTCCCTATATTCAAAACACTTCATAGCTGTATTATTTACAATAGCCAAGATCTGGAAACAGGCCAAGTGCCCATCAGTAGATCTGTGGATAATAAAGCTGTGGTACATTTACACAATGGAATACTATGCAGCTATAAAAAAGGGACACCTACCTTTTGTTACAGCATGGATGGACCTGGAGATTATTATGCTAAGTGAAATAAGCCAGACAAAGGCAAATACCATATGACCTCACTTATATGTTGACTCTAATAAATAAAATAAACCGATGAACAAAATAGAACCAGAGGCATGGATACATGAAACAGACTGACAAGAGTTCAGAGTGGAGGGAATGAGGGAACTGGATGAAAGAAGGTGAAGAGATTAGCCAAAGAACATTTATGGATAGCCCATGGACACAGACAGCAGTGTGGTGAGGGGGCTGGGTGGAGGTAGGCAAAGCCAGGATAGGCAATCCAGTGCTCACTTCAAAGACCAAAGTGACAGCTTGTCACAGTCACTCACACTAACGACCTGATAAGGATGTTCTGCACAACTCAGCTCTACCCAACAGTTACTTATCTTTAAGAACAAGGACTTGGTAATTGTTTTCTGAAGAAGAAAGTAATTTGAAGCAGGCAGGGGGAAGAAAGGAAGAAAAGTGAGTCCAAGGGAGACAATGGTGCCACTTGGCAGTTAGTATCATAAACTTGAAAACAATCAAAGTTCATTTCACAGACATTTTAAAAAGTACTTAAATACTTCAAACTTCCAAATAGTCTCACACTGGCATTGATTACTACATCTTTATATAGTCCCTGAGGCTGACACTGAAACATAAGATCACCCAGAAATTTTTACGAGTCCCTTGATTTCCCAAGACATAAAAACCCTGCTCCTATCCCATTTCACCTCCAGCACCACACAGTTACATTACAGTAGATGTATATTTGACTCATTTGGTAGTTGTCTAAGGTGTAGGTTTTACAAAATATCTTTTTTAAAATATATTTTTTATTGATTTTTACAGAGAGGAAGGGAGAGAGCGATAGAGAGTTAGAAACATCCATGAGAGAGAAACATCGATCAGCTGCCTCCTGTACACTCCACACTGGGGATGTGCCCGCAACCAAGGTACATGCCCTTGACTGGAATCGAACCTGAGACCTTTCAGTCCGCAGGCCGACGCTCTATCCACTGAGCCAAACCGGTCAGGGCTACAAAATATCTTTAATCAATATTCTTGCTATATCCTTAGGAAAATTAGCTTGCTCTCTCCGGATCTAAGCTAAGAAGACTGCAATGGACTTTCATAATTTTAAGTTTGGGTTCCACTTGGACAGTTGCTGGAGAAGAAATTTATCTTAATGGCCATAATAATTAATTTTGAAAGCTGTCATATTTCATATAGTCTTTTCAAGAAAATTCAGTGATTCTTGCCCTAACCGGTTTGGCTTAGTGGTTAGAGCGTTAGCCTGCGGACTGAAGGGTCCCGGGTTCGATTACAGCCAAGGGCATGTACCTTGGTTGCGGGCACATCCCCAGTAGGGGGTGTGCAGGAGGCAGCTAATCAATGTTTCTTTCTCATTGATGTTTCTAACTCTCTGTCCCTCTCCCTCCCTCTCTGTGAAAAATCAATAAAATATATTTAAAAAAAAAAAGAAAATTCAGTGATTCTCAGTTTGGTAGTTCCATAAAACAAAAGCATACTAATTTCATTATAAAGAAACTTACATGTAATGATAATCTATGAACTGGAAGACTTACGTTCAATGTTCTGGAATATAACACTTTGAGTATTAATCAGTTCTCATTTTTAATCAGGAAATGTGCTTTACAGAAACAGTTGAATTAAAAAGGAGGCCATCATGACACCATGTGTGACACGATGCAAAAGTCAAATAAATCTCTTTGTTCCTCTTCAGATACGACATGTCTCAATCCCCCTACTTACCCCAAACACCTCCCCAACATTCAGACACTATAAATGCCACACCCACAGAGTCTCCCGACCCTGAATTGAATGAGTGAGGCACCAAAAGGTAAATTATGCTTTGGCAAGCAGGAAATTGGACGATTTTTTCAGCTCTTCTGAGGTAGTGAAGTCTCTCCTTCTAATATTCTAATGTTAGAAAAAGTTGAATGAGTTGAATTAAGAGACAAGTGGAATATTGGTCACTGTACTTAAATGCTATTCTGAAATGGGAGGTTTATATGGGTGATGACCACACTCTAAAACTTACTCAGCAGGATCCAGGTTGTTACGTGGCGAACTTAAGATATTAAGGTTGCTGTGTGAGTAGGGAAAGACATATTCCCTTGAGAGCATTGTATAAGTCATTAAAACTTGGACTTAATTGCTACACATTTCTAAAAAATTGTCTGGCATACAGTAGGAGATCAATAAATATCTGATGGCTGTTTAAGAACTCTGATTTATCTCAGTGAAATTACAGGCAGAAACAAACAGGCCCAGCTGGTGTGGCTCAGTGGTTGAGAGTTGACCTATGAACCAGGAGGTCGTGATTCCATTCCTGGTCAGGGCACATGCCCGGGTTGCAGGCTCGATCCCCAGTAGGGGGCATGCAGGAGGCAGCCAATCAATGATTCTCTCTCATCACTGATGTTTCTCTCCCTTTCCCTTCCTCTCTGCAATCAATAAAAAAAACTTTGTTTTTTTAAAGAAACAAACAAAAGTACTCAACCAACTGCAGGCTAGTTGTCACCAAAGGCTAAGTCACTTTCCCTTGTGCATGGAATTTTAGATCCCTTTCAAACAATGAGAAAGTTAAGCTCATATGGTACTGGATTTGGGGTAGTATACAACTCCATATTAACTCCATTTATCAGATGCTTTATTTCCATCATGATTTTATCATGACGAGATTGTGGGATTTTTAATCCATAAATAACTTTTCTGAAGACAAATTGATCCACTCTCTCTGTTGTTCTTCAAGCTTTTCTGCCAAGCATTTAATCAAGACAGGGTCTACCTTAGAATCAAATTTATTAGCAAACCAATGTCCATCTTTGATAAGCCACCTCAATTCTGCTGCTCCATAGATACACACACTTCGGCGGTGAGAGCCAGTACAACTGGGATAGAAAAGGCCTTCGTGATAATTCCATTTGACAAGGCGGGTCTTGCTCTGTAGGTCAGACACATCCTCGGCTGACCGAGAAATCTCCCCAGGGATTCCTGGCACCCGAATTAAGGTAGCCCAAAAATGCTCATCAGGCGAGTAGGTGTCTTCAGACCAGGCAAAGAAGTCTTTAACGAGGGAGTTGTTGAAAACATATTTAACAAATGCTCGACTTAAAACAAAGTAAGCACTGCCAACAAATATCTCAATGTTATGAGGGGGTGCCTCTTTGGAGATGTTTGTCCTTACTGGTAGCTTCACATATTCATAAGGCAGCTGTCTGAGCTCATGGTGATAAGTGAATCTTTCCGTTTTACTGTTAGGGGGTTTCACTGTCTCTAACATATTTGCTCCATTGAGTTTCTTCAACTCTGACACTAATTCAAAGTTTGACTTCAAAGGAAAGTCTTGCCCACACAGGTTGATAACATATTTCCATTGAACTGAAGACTTGAGAAGGTCTGACAAGCAATTTAAATCAGCTTGGAGTCTGGAAATGTGGGCATAATGCACAGTCTCTAATTTGGAAGCAATGAAAATATTGGAGAAGCACTTAGCTAAATTGTTCATGGCGACTTTGAAGGTGTCGGGTGACTTACGGTCATAATGGATGCAGTAAATATTGTGCTGGTTGTATATAGCATGGATTAGCCTTTCAACCATAATTGCATCTTTGTGAACCACCAAAGAATAGGCTATTGGGAAGCTTCTCTCTTCCCTTGAAACGAGCTTTTGATGGTACCTTCTTAGGATCTGGTAAACGTCACAATTGCTGGTCATTGCCACAACGTCATCATCATCCAAGTCGATGATGTCTCTTCTTCTAATTTCCAGAGTCTTGCCAATTTCCAGAGGCTCCTGTTCGTAGACACCCGAACAGTTAACTTTATACCGGACTTCATTGTTAACATGGGTGTATCTGTTCCTTACAAAAGGGGAGGTGCTGAGGAAGTGCTCCACCAAGTAAATGCCTCTCTGAGGGAAGAGGAGTCTTCCTACATTTAGAAGCTTCAACAAGGAGAACAGCCACAGGGTTAAAAACAGGATGAAGACTTTCTGCTGTAGGGGGTATTTAATACAACATCTGAATATCTTCATTCTGTAAGAGGCAAAAGGAATAATTCAGCGGAAACATTCAGATAAAATTACTTCAACAGACACAGACAATAGGGTGGTGAAGGCCTGGGGTGGAGGGCAGGGGACAGGCTGGAAGAGGTGAAGGGGGGTACGGGAGAAGGGGACATATGTAAAATTTCAACAATAAAGATTAAAACAAGATTCTTGCCTTGAGAGAATCCAGAAATAAGGAAATGGAACTATGTAGAATGGTGGTATTTTGTGGTATTCTGTACTAACTATATCTAATTTTGAGAGATGTTGCTTACCAAGTAGAATGGAAAATAATGTCAACTATTCAAATATAGCCCAGCCAGGTGTGGCTCAGCAGTTGAGCATTGACCCAGGAACCAGGAGGTCACCAGTTCGATTCCCGGTCAGGGCATATGCCTGGGTTGTGGGCTCAATCCCCAGTGTGGGGTGTGCAGGAGGCAGCCAATCAATGATTTTCTCTTGTCACTGATGTTTCTATCTCTCTCTCCCCATCCCTTCCTCTCTGAAATCAATAAAAATATGTTTTTTTAAATATATATAGGTACTATGTCATTTTATATTGTCTGCATTTCTGCTTAGCATATTTGGGGAAGGAGTACTCTGGGCAGAGGTCTAGAGAAATGGATGTCATTAAGAAATCTTTGGAGCGGCAAATGGCCCACCTGAGGCTAAAAGGAATATCTTTCTTGATTTTACCTTTAGATCCTGATTAGATGGACGTCTGAAGTCAGATGGGAAAAACCCTGTGAATCCCACTGCTATAGACTGAATGCGTCTCCTCCAAAATTCATAGGTTGAAACCTAATCCATAACTGTGATGGTATTTGGGGGTGGGGCTTTTGGGTCATGAAGGTGATTGGGTCATGAGAGTGGAGCCCTCATGAATGGGATTAGTGCCCTCATGAGGAGAGCACTAAGTGATAAGTATCACTTATCACTGAGTAGCACCAGTTAGGACATAGCAAGAAGTCAGCATGTGCACCTGGGAGAGGGCCTTCCCAGAACCCATCATGCTGATCTTGGCCTTCCAGCTTCCAAAACTGTGAGAAAGAAATTTCTATTGTTTACCAGCCACCCTATCCATGGCACTTGTTATAGAAACCTGCATGGACTAAGACGACCTTAAAAAACAAGAGCAGTGGGCAGTCACCCGAAGGAGCTATAGTAGGTATTAGGACTGTAAAATGTTGTACAAATTATACAAATTTGGTAATCCTGCACATTTCTTTATTTTTTTTTATTTTGTTAGCCTCCATTTCCTCACAGGGTTTAGCAATTTAGCCTTCCCTTATGGTGAAAAGAACATGACTCTCATTGAGTGTGGGGGATAAAAACTACTTGGGGGGGGGATGGCAGTTAGGCAATAACTGTTTTAAATGTACCCACCCAGAAGAGCTCACGTGTGCAAGGAAGGTGTGCGCACAAGCAGGTTCCCTGCAGTGTTCCTTGTTCAGGCTAAAGACCGAAAAGCACTAAAACATTCCTCAACAGGGACTGATTCATTATATGCACACTCTGGGAAAAAGACAAATCTGCATGTGCCCCTGTGGAACAATTTCCAGCATGTAGTGTGAAATAGAAATAAGCAAAAGTCAGAACTGTGTGTAGTGTGCTCACATGTGTATCAAAAAAGACCATACACACAGGTGTCTACACACAAAGAGCACATGTTGGCAAAACTTTCCTTTCTCTGTCACAACTATTCGGCTCTGCCATTGGAGTGAAAATGCAGCCTCCAGACAATGTGAGAGTGGGCATGGCTGTGTTCCAATAAAACTTTATTTACAAAAACAGAGAGCTGGCTGATTCTGGCCCATGGGCCAGTATTTCCAGGAAGATGTATAGATACAACACTGCTGGGAACAGGAGTTGCTTTGCAGGGCAGGGTAGGCCAGGGTAGGAGGGGGATTTACTTATCACTGAGCAGCCTTTCGTACTACTTGAACTTAAAAGATGATTATATCCCTTTACTAGGTAAAAGCAACCTAATGAAGGGGAGGGCACAGATATGCTATTTGGGAAGCAGCAGGATCCAGGGAGTGCTACCCAAGGTTTGAGGAGCCCAATGTAATTTCCTAATACATCTCAATAAATCTTAAATGAGAATGTAAACTTCTACCAATTTCCTTAGAATTAGCAAGAAATTTTTGAACCTGGTTTATTTTTGAAGATTGTATAGCTGGACTGAAAAAAGTTTTGCTGAGAATAACGTTTACTCATTTACATCCGCTTGACTCACTCTCCCTTAAAGAACACCTATGGACAGTGAGCTGCCCTGCAGAATCCGTGTCCTCTCCGGCCACATCTCAGTGTCTCTCTGTGGGTTTCCCCGGGGTCCTGTTTCAACTCACTGCTCTTCTCACCCATACTCTTCCTGGGTCTCTGGATTTCAACTTGCACATACACAATGTCAACACTTTATCTCTAACCCCCACCTCTTGCCCAAGCCTCCAAAGTGAACAGCCAATTGTTTGAGAGACATGTCCACTAAGATGTCTAAGGCACTCAACCTCAATGAGTCCAGAATTGAACCTGACATTTCATCTCTTCTGTGTTTTCTGTCTCAATTTATAGTGAGACCATCCACTCAATGAGCCAAGCTTGAAACTCAAGAGCCATCTGACTCTTCCAGTTTCCCATACCCACATTAACAAATCACCTCATTAACACACCTCAAACCCAGTCTTTCCTCTCCATCCTGTTACCACGTCCGGACAACACCTTTGCTGACTCAGAGCCCAGGTCGAAGGAACCCCAATCAGGCACATGGCTCAGAGTCCCTTGCCTTCTGCTCCTCCACAGTGAACTGAGTAGGGTTCCATCCACTCAGTCTCAAGGCCACAGTTCCTGCCAGTTGTTGGAAAGTGTGGGAAAACTGACTCCCAATGAACAAGGCGACACAACCTACAATCCCAGAAGCCCGAGCACACGTTCAGAATTGGGTGTTGTGTCTATGGCCATACCACCCTGAATGCACTCGATCTCGTCAGAATTGGGTGTTGTGATAAACTTAGATTAATCAATCCCAAATCAATCAATCTGTCTCCTCATCGTCCTAATTCATGGTAATTAGGCATAAATAGAAAGCAACTTACACAAATGGCTAGAATTAGAAGGAATCTTACCCAAATGAATTTTTTGCTTTTTCTTTTCTTACTTTATTGGTCCATGAAATCTCGAATTAGCATTAGTTAATAGTTCCCGCTGATACCACAGTGATTAAAATGAAAAGCCCTCACATTTCTAAAGAGGTTTACAAAGGCTTCCAGAGCTGTCATGTCATTTATGACATATCATTTAATTACCAGCTTCACACTTACGTAAAAAGGCAAAGGCCGGCTCCCGGTCCCACCACCCTTTCCCAGGGCCCCCTCTGCACCACCTTCCCCTGCGCCTTCCTGAAAACGAATGCCTGCCTGGAGCACACACTTCTGACTCCAACCTGCTGCCTGGGGAGGCTGAGTGGGGCGAGGAGACCTGGCTGCCTGCCCAGAGAGGGAAGGTCACAGGGCACCCGGAAGGGAGAGGCGCCAGGCACGCTCTGGGTCCCATGTCTGAGCTTCAGCAGTGAGGGACCAGAATCCATTTTAAAGGAAGAAGGAGCGGGAGTTGGACAGCCCAGGCACCTGGCTTTTGATCCTTCCAACCAGGTGTCTTTAAGGGGAACACCTTGTCTGTCTGTGGGCCAGGCTTTGACATCAGGGGAAAGAATCAGCCCTAAAATAATACCACCCTGTCCCCAGTCAAAGCAAAACCCCTTTACAGAAATTCCTTGACTGAAAGCATTCCTTTCCCCAAGTTAGAAGATGTGATGGTACAAGATGAGCTTCTGTCAAATGCTGAAAGGGGCCGCTGGCCTCTTCCCAGTGGTGAGAAGTCAGCAGCTTATCTCGGGCTCTCAAGCCTGCAGGAAGTTCCAGACCAAAGTGCCCAATCAAGGCTCCACTTTTGGACACCCAGGGCCCCTCCCAGCTGGGTCTGCGATTTGCTTAGGGAACACCCAGCGCAGCAGAGTCAGGGGCCAGAAGCTGGAGGTAAGCTGGGAGTAGGCACCAGCCCATGTGACACCGCCTCCCTTCCCTGCCAACTGCAGCCCAGGCCTGCGAAAACCCCAAGGTGCCAGGTCTGGAGGGAAGAAAGGGAGCGCCTAGGCCTGCCCCACGTCTGACTTGAGTTGGTTGGTCGCAGGCTGGCAGCTATGCTGGCCCCTGGTTCCTAGGAGACCAGGGCAGCAAAGCCACCTTCTGCAAACACTGAAAAGCTCGTGAGCAGGCAGCAGGCAGGTGTTTTGCTGCCCAGAAGCCGTCTTATAATTACACTAGAGGCCTGGTGCACAAATTTCATGCACGTGGGCAGGGGAGGTTCCTTAGCCCAGCCTGCGCCTTCTCGCAGTCCAGGATCCCTCAGGGGAATGTCCTGCGTTGAACATCTGTCCTCTGGTGGTCAGTGCACATCATGGCGACTGGTCGTTCTGGTCATTCTGCTGTACAGGTCACTTAGGCTTTTATTACATAGATTACAAGTAATCTCCCACCCATGGGAGAAGGGTATTTCCCCTCCCACCCACCCAGGCAGAGAAGGAAGCCTGACCCAGCATGGAGCCTATCCCCACATGGGTTCAGTTCCTGGTGATGACAGCGGAACTGAGAAGGAAATGATAGTGAGGTTTGATCACCAGAGCACAGCTGAAATAGGGGCTATAGGATAATTCAATAAAAACCCAACAGGATGTTGAATGAAGCTTTTTCCCCAAATCATCATTTTCCCCAGCCCTTCCAGGTGCTGTTTACAGCCTTAAGGGAAATAGCAGGCACAAAGGTACACCCAGCTAAGTAGTTATAATTGCACTCAGGGCTAAATGGCACAGCCATTAGCAGCTCCTCAATGCACTCTCCTTAAGTCAGCGATTTCAAAATCCAGACACATCATAGAAGTGCATGCTTCCTTTCCCAGGGAAGGAAAGGGGTGGTAAGTCATGAATGGGAGGAG